CCCAGCCCCTGCCACCTGCTTGCAGGTGCTTTAATCCACTGAGCTATTTGGCCAGGCCAGTTTCCTTATTTGAGAAGTAAGGTTAGTACCTGTGCTGCTGGGAAGCTGCAAGGATAGCAAAAGGGAACGTGACTGGCTATATAAACTGTACAGAACAGGGGCCACAGTGCAAGGGTGCTACACCTGAATGGTCTTTGACCTCTCCCTCCTCTTTGGATATTTTTTTTTTAAAGGCATTTTGCAAAACATCACACCCTGACTTTCTTCCTGTTTACCAACCTGGCTCTTTTTAATTTTCTGCACCATGTCTTCCTAGCTCCCTAATCTCTAAAGATTGGTTGGCTCCTGACCCACAGTATTAGCACCCTTTTATTTTTCATCTGTATACATATTTTGTCAAATTTATTGCATGTAATCCCCTAAAATGCTACACAGTTTATAGGCTTTGTCTTCAGGATTTGTATCTACAAAATATATCTTTCCCTTAAAATTCAGTCTTGCTATTCCAATGCTTCTTTATTATTTCCACTTACATGTATATCATTTACATTTTCAATTTGATATGTTCATAAGTGAATATCTTACCCTATCTCAACCAAACTTGCTCATCCAATACTTTTTTTCCATTTTGATATTTTTGTTTGTTTGTTTGTTTGTTTGTTTTGTGCAGGGTCTCTAAGCAGCTCAGATTTGTAATGATCCTCCTGGTTTCTGCCTCCTTAGTGCTAGGATTACAGGTGTGCACAACCACCATGCCCAGATTCTATCATAGGCTAAGTGCGCCCCAGGGGCAGGGCCAACATGGCATGTGTTGCCAGGGATTGATTGAACCCTGGCCCCTGTGCTTACCTAAGCAAGGGCTTAGTCCATTGAGCTACTCCTTTTTTTTTTTTTTTTCCATTTTGTTAATTAGAAATACCACTTCCCATGGCTAATGATAACAAATTTATTCTCCATTCTGCTGGGCTTTACCAATTCAACTATAGATATATCATTTCAGTTACTGACAGTATCCTGTACACATATTTATTTGAAATTTGACTTTTTCCACTTTGATCATGACAGTCCAAGCTTTTATCCACAACTGTTTGCCGTCATCTTCCCTACTTTATTATCAATACAGCACCCAAGTGACCCCTTTGGAAAGCTGCATGCTTCTTTCTCATGCCCACGATAGCATTCCATCTTGCCAAGGGCAGGAGACAGAGTCCTAAGCACGGAAATAAAGCCATAATAATACTTTTGATTTTTCTTTCTCTAAATTATGTCCTATTCTCTTTTGCTTCTTTTTCTTTGACGAAACCCAACTAGGATAGTTTCTCTACTTGAAAAAACAAGGAAAGATACTAACTCAAGGTCAGAGTTCTTATATTCTTTCACCCTGAACCCTGTCCCCTAAGACAACCCAGAAGAAAGAGCTCTGATTAACTTTGGTCCATGTCATCATGTACCAAAGATGTCATCACCTAAGAAGGACTTCCCTCAGGACTTCCTATTTACATTTGCAAAACTATGGCTTCTGAGTATTTGATTTTTCTATCATTTATTTTTCTGTTTCATCACCATCAAATTATTGTAACACATTTTAATTAAATTTTTATTGTATGTCTCCCATCACTAGAATGGGAACTTCAAAAGAGCAAACATTTTAAAATCTATTTTATTAGCTACTATACCCCCAGTGCCCTAAAAATATGTGGATTATATTAAGTGTTTAATAAATATTTCTTAAACAAATTCATGGGAGGGAGATGGGGAATTGTGAATCAAATAATAAGGATTAGGCCGGCAAGATAGCTAAGCAGACTAAGTGCCTGCCTAGGCAAACTCAGAGCCCAAGTTTCAATCCCCAGAACCACATGCCACATCTGCACCCACACCTGGGCATGCTGAGCTGGCCACCGAGACCAGTGGTGGTGGCACAGGCCTGTAATCCCAGTGCTCAGGAGGCTGAAAACAGGAGAATCACTACAAGTCTGAACTGCATAATGAGATCCTATGCCAAACACCTTAAAAAAAAAAAAGGATAATAATCAAACGAATATATAAATCTTTGAAAAATCAGTGGTAGAATTTGGACTATTTGAGAATAAAAAATCCAAGTTACTAAAACAATTAAGTAGATTACTTTAGGGCTGGTGAGATAGCTCAGTGGACTAAGCACTTGCTTAGGAAAGTGCAGGGAGCTGGGTTCGATCACTGGCACCACATGCCCTGCCCCCTGGGAGCACTGATCTGGTGACTGAGTCCAGGTATGGTGGCACACACCTGTAATCCCAGAGCTGGGGAGGCTGAAAGCAGGAGGATCACTACGAGTCTGAGCTGCATAGTGAGACCCTGCACAAACTACATTACATAATAA